TATTGATAGGAAAATGAAATAAAGATTGATATGTTATAAAAGATTGGGGGTTATATTGTTGATTAATAGATTGAATAATGTTTCCTTATAATTAAAGCATTATACCCAGGAGTTACCCTCTTAATTTTTTTTTGTAAGATGGATTTAAAAAAAATTACCATGCTTCGAGTTTTTTAAGGGAAAAATGGAGTTAATTTGCTGATTATTTTAGCTTTATAGACATATCGAGAGTTAAATAAAAATGCGCGATATGTTAGAGAATGAGCTATGACCAGGTTTAGGGATGCGGTTAAATACTTGTCAGGCCACGCGACGTACCTCCAGTTTGTAAAAAACGTTAAAATGGAACTTGTAAAAAGAAGTTATGAGTTTAAGAAAACTAATAGGCTTTCGAGGAAAAACAACCAAGATTATTCCTACTGTGACTCTTGTTTAAAGATGCTCTGGTTAAGATGAGGATGAGTTAGAATAGGTTGAGGAGAGAAAGAAGTTATGAGTTGTAAAAAATGGCGTTGAGATTATGAGTTCTTTGGTGAGTTAATAATGGAGTAAAAATTCATGAGTTATGACTTTAAGAGTGATTAAAATGTTATGAGTTAAGAATAGGTTGAGAAAGAGTTATGATTGTTAAGAATTAGGTTGCGAATTAAAATTTATGAGTTAAACAATAAGCCGAGACATAAGTTATTGAATTTTAAAATGGTTTTAAATTTTGGCTGTGACACTTGCGTTAAGAATAAAGGATGTAAGTATGAGCTATGAGGTAAGAATGGTTTGAGAACAAGTTATGAGTTAATAATGGGTTGAAAATGAGTTATGAGGTAAGAATAGATTAAGAATAAGTTTTGAGTTTAAAATGGGTTATGAATGACTTAATTATCGTGCTTCTGATGATAGTGGCGATGATGATGATAATGATTATCATTCATGATTAATAGAATAAAATAGTAATAACGATTGATAATAAAGATATAGTGAAAATGATAACTAATAATAATAATGATGATAATAATAATGATGATAGATGATGATGATAATGATGATAATGATAAGATAATAATAATGATGATAATGATAATGATAATGATGATAATGATAATGATGATAATGATAATGATGATAATGATAATGAAATGATGATGATGAGATAATTAATAATAATGATGATAATTGATATGATAATGATAATGATGATAATGTCAATAAAGTAATATAAAGCAATGCCAATAATAATAACCACCAGAGGGCATTCGGGAAAATTTTGCTAACACCTATTCCATGTTGCATTCACTATTGCACTTATATTCACTATATTCACTTATATTCACTTATTCACTGCCAGCAACCACAGCGAGAGAGACAAAGCATGATTTTAAAAGTTGTTTTTTAACACTTTCTTTTAGTCTCTCTGTCATCTACCTGACTTCATTATTGTTCTCTTTCTCTTTCTCTTACACTCTTTCTTCTTCTCATGTCTGTCTCTCTCTCTCTCTGTCTCTCTCGCTTCGTCTTCTCTCTCTCTCTCTCTCATCTCTCTCTCTCTCTCTCTCTCTCTCTCTCTCTCTCTCTCTCTCTCTCTCTCTCTCTCTCTCTCTCTCTGTCTGTCTGTCTTCTTCTTCTCTCTCTCTCTCTTCTCTCTCTCTCTCTCTCTCCTCTCTCTCTCTCTCTCTCTCTCTCTCTCTTCTCTCTCTCTCTCTCTCTCTCTCTTCTCTCTCTCTCTCTCTCTCTCTCTCTCTCTCTTCTCTCTCTCTCTCTCTCTCTCTCTCTTCTCTCTCTCTCTCTCTCTCTCTCTCTCTCTCTCTCTCTCTCTCTCTCTCTCTCTTCCCACTCTCTCTCTCTCTCTCTCTCTCTCTCTCTCTCTCTCTCTCTCTCTCTCTCTCTCTCTCTCTCTCTCTCTCTCTCTCTCTCTCTCTCTCTCTCTCTCTCTCTCTCTCTCTCTCTCTCTCTCTCTCTCTCTCTCTCTCTCTCTCTCTCTCTCTCTCTCTCTCTCTCTCTCTCTCTCTCTCTCTCTCTCTCTCTCTCTCTCCCTCTCTCTCTCTCTCTCTAAGAAAACTTTAAGAAAACAAAAAGAAATATGTCTCTCTGTCTCTTCTTGTTAAAAACACACCAAAATTAAGTTACAGAAGTACCCAACTTTGGCCAGCCTTGTTTTTATTAGCGAAGCCAAGTTACCCGGTTGGTACGTTAACAAGAGTAGGACGACAACGCTGGAAGTGTGAGGGAGGAAGGAAGGAAGGAGGAAGGAGGAGGAGAGGAGGAAGGGAGAGAAGGGATGAGGAGGGGTGGAAGGAAGGAAGCTGAGGAAGAAAGTGTCCTTGGGGAAGGAAGGGAAAAGGAAGGGGAAGGTGCGATGCGAGGAAAGTGAGGGAAAAGGAAGAGAAGGGAGAAAGAAGGAGGAAGGAAGAGAGGGAAGGAAGAAAGAGAGAGAGAGAAGGAAGAAGAAAGGAAGGAAGGAAAAAGAGGAAGGTAGGGAAGGGAGAGAGAAGAGTGGAGAATGAAA